ATATTATATATATATACACACACACACACATATATATATATATATGTGTGTGTGTGTGTGTGTGTGTGTGTGTGTGTGTACATGTGTGTGTAGTAATGCACACGTTGTCGATGTTATTTTTACAAATATGTAGGCCTGCTATCATACACCATGTAGACAAAAAGAAACGCAGCCAAAGCTGTCGTTTTTTCTTCTCTTCCAGCTCTCAGTGCTTTAGATTCTGCGGTAATCTACCTCATCTTTCTTTTGCACTGAAAAACTTGCAGACAGTCAAGCCGGAAGTTGACGTCACACAGGCTGTAAATGATCGGGTTGGCTGCGCTGTTCAAGAAGAAGAACCTCAGAAAGAGGTTATAGAAGGTTTCACTAGCGGTACCCATGGCCGCAAACTTTTCCGGGGAGGTAAATCTAAAAAGCGTGACGCTCAGATAAGGAAGGAAGCTAATGATGAAGATGGAGCTGACGATGATGAGCATCATGGTAGTCTTCCCCATGCCACGCCTTCTCGTGGCTCGACCAAGGGTAGATCTAGTAGTAGTAGTAGTAGTAGTAGTAGTAGTAGTAGTAGTAGTAGTAGTAGTAGACGACTTTGGGGATTTCTTTTCGCTGACACAAGCAGACAGTAGTTTGATCACCCCTCCTCCTCCTCCTAGTCTTCTTTTGTTGGGGGGATTTGTGGCCGACATTTCAGTTGTTTGAGCGGTCGGGTCGTTTTTGGTGTAGTTTTTCTGTTTCTTGTCGGTGCCACCAGTGACGTCATGGCTACTTTGTTTTTTCTCCGTGTTCATGAGCGTAGTTGAACCTGGACCAGGACTGTACATTTCTCGGGAGGATGTTTGGTAAGATGATGTCTTCTCAACATTTGGCGCTAAGACATGATGATGCTGTTTCACTTTGCTCTGCTGACTGGAACACGAGCCAGTGGCTTCGAGGTCATTCACGCTCTCTACTGCACCATCGCAATGACGTTTCTCAAGGCCGAGTTGACCTGATTCGTCCTGTTCACTTGGGAGCGTCTTTCCCATGTCGGTTGTTTTCGACATACGTCTGGCCCTGCTGCTGCTAACATCTCTCTCCTCTTTCCTTGTTGTATCATTTGGAGATTCCCTCCCCTCCTGCCCCACTTTACCACCCTCAGCCTTTCCTAAATCTTTCATCTCAACTGAATCTTCTCTGGAGACACCAGTCCCCTTTGACCAACTATCGTTGGTAGACAGCGTCGTCACGGGGCCGGAAGTGATCGAGGGGGAATTCCTCCCGGAAGTGACCTTTTTTACATTCGCAGTAGAAGAAGGCAGAGCGGAATCCCCGTGGACCTTACTGTGTCGCCAAGCCATCAGGCCGATCAGAGTGTACAGAACAGATATCGGGATGCTGCAGGAGAGGAAAATCAAAAGAAAGAAGACAGAGTAGACGGTGGGCCACACGGTGTTGGTGTAGCTGTCGTCCAGCCCGCACTCGTAGCCCAAGATGTCTGCCCGGGGGGTGGGCCTGGTCGTGGTGCCGTACAGAACGGCGTAGGGGACACTGGCGACGGACGAGAAGGCGCCGATGATGAGGCACACAGCCTTGGCTTGGCGCACGCTCACTTGCCAGCCAAACGATCGGCATACTTTTCGGAATCTGCGGAAGTGAAGAAGAAGATGTGGTAGCTCAATGATTCTTTTCAAAATAGTCGGTATAATAATTCAAATTCAATGTAGTACGTGTAATAATGAGAAGAAGAAGAAGAAGAAGAAGAAGAAGAAGAAGAAGAAGAAGAAGAAGAAGAAGAGAGAGAAGGAGAAGGAGAAGGAGAAGAAGAAGAAGAAGAAGAAGAAGAAGGAGAAGAAGAAGAAGAAGAAGAAGAAGAAGAAATATAGTAATTATAATAATTTATGATGGTGACGAAATAATTTGATTGTAGTAATAATAATAACAATGTAGAATCTAATTTATTATAATATTATTGTAATAGAAATTATTGTAATGATGGTGATGATGATGATAATAATACATATAAATTATAATTATACATGTAATAATTACACTCCCTGGTGGCTCTATCTATGTGATACACATTGAAATAAATACATGTAAACAAACAAACAAACAACAAACGAACAGAGCCAAAAACATACACAAACAAACAAAAAACAGGGCCAAAAACAAACCCAAACAACAAACAAAACATACACAAACAAACAAGAACAAACTCAAAGCTGTCCCTGCATAATTTAGTAAAAGTTGATCTTATTTTGTGTGCATAATTTCTGATTATTTTCCTTTATCATTCTTTGTTAAAATTAACAGAATCGCACAATTTCACGTTTTTGGGATCAGTTTGCATAATTTCAGAATTTTTCCCGCTTAAAACAACGGGGACAGTCAAAGAAAAGCATCTTGCGCTAGATCTAGTTCACCTGACGACGGAGAGAGCGAGGAGAAGAATGGCGGAGGCCATGGCCGTAGCAGACGTGAAGAAATGGCGGGCACTACACATGGCGGCGTCATCGAAGTCCCAGATGTTGAACATGTCGTACACGTCAGCTGTGGGGTGGACAGTGGTCAGCACACATGCGTTGGGTTTTTAGTTTTGGTAAGAACAGTTTTACGGCACTTGCAACACAATAAGGTCATATAAGTGCCGAAAATTAGAGGTGTTACAAGAGAGTAACAAGCTCAAAAAAGAAGGAGGAGAGATCAGGACAATATATATATAAATCATATTGATAGAAAAGAAGAAGCAAACCAAACCAGAGCACCCGTCAACCACCCTAGAGATTTGTGAGGGGCTCCCATGCTCTTCTTCTACTTCCACAGACCGTGCGGTGCTCACCTCTCATTCAATAGGTCTCAAGTTCGAAACCTGACTCAACTGACTGCGAGTGCGAGGCGAAGGAAAACTTTCTCTTCTCCAAAAATGTCCCCCTTTCACTGCAGCCTACTACAATACCTACTTTGTATGTCCTGTCCTAAGAACAAGAATAGGCTTCGGCAGCCACCAAAGCAAAATTCAAAATTAACTCCTACAAAACTGAAAATGTTTCAAACGTGTCCCGCGCTCTTATGATGACTGACCATGGGTTGAGTAAGAGTTGCGAGATCCGTAAAAACCCCCCAAAAAAACAACCAAAATAAATTACCAAAACCAAACAAAAGAAAAACAAAAGCCACCAGGAAGTCATAGGCGCTGTAGAATATGTATATATATATATATATATATATATATATATATATATATATATATATATATATATATAGCAGTGGTTGTTATGATAGAATTATTATGTTATCTCACTTCCTGAATCACTCTCTGTCTCTCTCCTTCTGACCGCCTCCCCCCCCCTCTCTCTCTCTCTCTCTCTCTCTCTCTCTCTCTCTCTCTCTCTCCCCCCCTCTCTCTCTCTCTCTCTCTCTCTCTCTCTCTCTCTCTCTCTCTCTCTCTCTCTCTGCTTAGACGCATCCTGTTCACACTACTTCCGCCTTCCAAGAGTGCATGTTTAAGTGGACTCATGCGTGCGGGCCAAGGCCGCATTACTTTACAAGTGGGGCTGTCTCACAGCTGTCCCCACATGGACACATCGCTACCTCTGAACCACTAAGTTCTATCTGACATGTTGGGCTGTTTTGAGTTACTAAGACCTCGATGTCAGAAACCAAATGTTTTATCTGCGCTATCAAAATAGTACGATTATTTGGAGTCGTTATCAAAATCACATAATGTATTAAAAGAATTGAATTTGCAAAAGCTTGGCATGATGTGAAATTCAAAATTTTTTACGACAAATTTGTCTAAACAAAGAACTGAGCAGAAAGAGCTTTGTGTTTCTGGGGAAGCGACACATACACGCATAAAAATTATTTTAAAAAACAAACAAACCCATACCTGGAATAGCTGTCACGTTGGCAACTAGATCAAAGGAAGCTATCGCCATGATGAATATCTGAGTCGCTGTCCTGCGCACCTTCCGGAAGTAGACGAGCAGAGCCAGAGTGTTCCCGAGGAAGCCCACGACAGCGCAGCAGACGATGAACACGATGGCGGGAAGCATGATTCGTGTCGTCTGCTCCTGGAGTTGATCTAAGTAGGCAGTTCTCTCCTCCTCAGTGGCGTTGTGATGAAGCGTGGCGTTGTCCTTCTTCAGAGCATGAATGGGCGCTTCCAATGCCATGTTGAGAAATCTGTAAATCTCTAAATTGATCTACCAATCTCTATCTATCTGTCTATCTCCTAGTCTGTCTGTCTGTCTATCTATACAAACATATACATATGTATTGTATACAATATATTTTCCCCTTATATATTGGCCTATATTAACGCTGTTACTCACCCCGACGTTAGCCTTGTGACACGCCTCTATAGATCAGATAGGTTCTCCCGCACAGAATTGCACCACTAGTGAACTCGGAACCCGGAATAAAACTAACTGCTCGCGAAGCACAAAGTTATATTATTATACAAAGAGTAGTTTTTTTGTTGTTGTTGTTTTGTTTTTGCTTTTGTTTGGTAAGGGGGGGGGGGTCGTTTTGTTTGTGGTTTTTAAGTTGTAGTTTTTTTTATCATCAACTCTTAAGTGCGCGGAGCGTCATTTCTGTTTCAGCTGAGTAACTGATCTCTCACAGCATTGCTGGGTCGTTTGCTGTCCGGACGGAACTAGAGCAAACCTCAGCCAGTTCATCACCTCTCTCATAATAATAAGAAATGATAATAAATGACATTTAGCGCACAACCCAGATTAAAGAACACAGGCTCTGAGCGCTTTACAATACAATACAACGTTCAACAGTGACATAAAACGTTGTGTTCTGGCTAAAAGAAAATTACTCCAAATATTCATCTTATTATTTTAAAAACAGAAATGACCAGCTGACATTTGAATGAATCAAAAGATTTGATCTCTCTTAAAGTACGTGGCAAAGCATTCCAGATTTTGGGGGCTTTGTATTCAAATGCCCTTTCACCTATTGTTTTAAGCTTCATAGTAACATAAATTTCTTTTTGTCAGCTGATGACCTTAAACTGCGAGTTGGAATGTACATTCTTAACAGATTTGATAAATATGATGGTATATTATAATTCAAACATTTTTGACATAGGGTGGCCAACTTGTACACAATTCTTTTCTCATCAGACTAAAGTTTTCTGCTAAGATCTTACGTTTATTTCTACTAGAGTTTGCTGGTTACTGTGGTTCCATTATATGCAAATCTTAGGTGTGCAGACCAAAAGAGTTACTTCTCGTCATCCAAGAATGGAGATATCGGACAAAAGTCGACTCTGTGGTCAAATCTGTAGATTTTTATCACCTGACACATGTAGGCCTACACCATTTTTTACAAGTTTCACTTAAGTTTTTTGTTGGGTTTTTTATTTAAATTTAAATTTAAAAAAAAAACAACAACACATTTCATACTCATAGAATGTGTTAAGTGTTGAACATAACTCTCTGTAATGTCAACTCAAATTTCACAGAGAGTAGCAAACAAAGCTTTTGAAGTGGTATCAAAGTCGTTTTTCTTCGTGGCTCCACATATCAGTAGGATTCATCGGGATTATTTACTGATGACCTCTCCGTCGTTGGTATAATTAGCTCTCTCTCTCTCTCTCTCTCTCTCT